CCCTGCGTGCCCAGCCTTGGCTCCGGGCTGCACGGCAGGAGGGCACAGAGCCACGGAAGGGTTGGCTTGGAGGGACCCCAAATGCCATCAGTGCCATCCCTGCCATGGCAGGGACACCTTCCCCTGTCCCAGGTGCTCCCAGCCCCAGTGTCCAGCCTGGCCTTGGGCACTGCCAGGGATCCAGGGGCAGCCCCAGCTGCTCTGGGCACCCTGTGCCAGGCCTGCCCACCCTGCCAGGAACAATTCCCAATTCCCAATTTCCCATCCATCCCTGCCTCTGGCAGTGGGAGCCATTCCCTGTGTCCTGTCCCTCCATCCCTTGTCCCCAGCCCCTCTGCAGCTCTCCTGGAGCCCCTCCAGGCCCTGGCAGGGCTCTGAGCTCTCCCTGGAGCCTTCCCATTTCCAGGGGAACATTCCCAGCTCTCCAGCCTGGCTCCAGAGGGGCTCCAGCCCTGCAGCAGCTGCGGGGCTCCCTCAGGTCCGTGTGCTGCTGGCCCCGGGGCTGGGCAGCCCTGCAGGTGGGCTCTCACCGGAGGGGCGGAGGGCAGGGGCACGGTGGGGCTCTAGGGTGCCGGGGCCCGTGTGGGGGCCGTGCCCAGCACCCCCGGCCCTTCCCAGGCCGCCAGCCTGCCGTGCCTGGGGCCGGGGACTGCTCTGAGCTCGGCCCTGCTGCACTCGAGGGGTGCCCCACGCCCCGGCTCTGCAGCCTGCCCGCGTCCCTCGGGATGCCCCATCCCGTCAGTGCCACTGTCCCTGTCTCTGGGACGCTAAAGTGTGCCAGCCAGCCCCAGCCCCTGAGGGTGCCACTCCTCACCGGGCTCCCCTGGGACACAGGGGCCTTGATCAGCCTTTGTGTGGGACCATCTGTGCCAGCCAGCCCCAGCCCCTGAGGGTGCCACTCCTCACCGGGACACGGGGGCCTTGATCAGCCTTTGTGTGCGACCACCCAGCCAATTCCACATCCTCTGAGTGCTCCATCCATCAAATCCCTGTCTTCTAACTCAATTTATTACTTAACTGTGGTGGTGTTAAAAGACTTTGAACAGCTGGCTCCGAGTCATTACTATTAGCATCTTTAAAAATAGAATTGGCAGTATTTACAGAAACACTAATGATAGGAAAATATGTGAAATTTCCCTCTTATGTAATGTTTAGTGAAAGAATTATGTGTTCTGTTAGAGGGACTTTTAAAAATAAACATAGGCTTTTCTCTGTAGGCTTTCTTCTCGATGAAGAAGGCATGTGAATTTTGGGAATCACAGTAATATTCCTTTCATCATCTTAAACATGTTGCAATTACAGCCATTATGTTCAGGATAGGCCTTTTAAAGGAACTTAATACCATGGTATCTTGCCCCCCTTGTTTCTATGCCCAAATGAGGAGTTTCTCACAGTATTTGCCTCCTTTGCAGTTCTGTGGTAATTGCTGGTATTTTTGTTTAGAAAGCGCTTCATCAGCTCCCTGAGACCAGATAACCATGAAGAACATAACGCTGCTTCAGGCAGTTCTACTTCTATTTACACTGGTTTTATCCAGGATAGCTTCACTGATACCAGGGAACCTGATCCTGATTTACAGCAATGAAAGGAGAAAATTGTAATCATTTTGTGCCACCAGAAACACGACAGAATGGGAACTGTAACAGCTCCCAGTAGGGTACAGCATAACAAGGAAAACTCCAGCATCTGTGCTGCTTAATTGAAATGTGAGATTAACAGTGGAAGTTTCAATATTATCTGCGGTTTCCCTCATACTACTTTTGACATGATGTGAAATACTTAGCTCACGGTGCTTGGGAATGAGAACAATCAGTCATTCCTCAAAGAAGACTCATTCACTTGCAGCACTGAGGCATTTGAGAAAAGTGGGATGAAATAATAGCTGATACAAATACTTTGATTAAAATAATAACCCAGGAATTTAATAAAGATTTATTTGGCTTTATTGTGTCTCCCAGTGAAATGAATGCACATTGCCTTTGCACATTGAATGTCAGTGGATTTTGATGACGGTTCTGACTGGACAGAGAGTGAGTTTGGCTCAGCATATGCAATTCTGTAAGGCTGGAGGTGATTTCATGGCTGAAGTGAAAGAAAACTCTTACCTCTTCGAATCTGTGGGGAAAAGAATGAATATACAAAGGTAAAGGTGGATGGGAAAAGACAAACCCTCCCAAAGGTGCGAGTGGTGGCTGTGCCCTCTGCAGGCTCTGCTCTCAGCAGGGTGGAACCCTGCAGTGCCAGCTCCCCTGCCCAGGCTGCCTGCCCTCCCTTCCCTTCCCAGCCCTGCCCTCCCTGCCCTCCCTGCCCTGCTCTGCTCTGCCCTGCCCATCCCTGCCCATCCCATCCCTGCCCTCCCTCGCCCGCCCACCCCTGCCCCTCCCTGCCCTGCCCTGCCCTGCCCTCCCTGCCCTGCCCTTCCATCCCTGCCCTGCCCTGCCCATCCCTGCCCTCCCTGCCCATCCCTGCCCATCCCTGCCCTCCCTGCCCATCCCTGCCCTGCCCTCCATGCCCATCCCTGCCCATCCCTGCCCTGCCCTGCCCTGCCCTGCCCTCCCTGCACACCTGGCACAGGGCAGTGCCCTCAGGCAGGGCTGGGGCACTGCCCCCTGCCCACCACAGCACCCCCGCTTTCCACAAGGTTCCCTCCTGCTTTCCCGAGGAGGAACAGAACCTTCTCGCAGCTTATTTGTCTTTTGTGATCTAAGCAAACCACCCAATCTGCTGAGTGCTCGCAGCTGCCAGGACTGCCAGACACGCAGAGAGTATCCCCAGGACTTCCACTGGTAAAATGCCTGATTGGCTCTTCATAAAATGTACACCACTAAAGACTGGAAAGCAAAGAGGAAAAACTGAAGAAAGGAGTAATGAACTCTCAGTGTTTTCAAGGACAGCCTGTTCCCAGTGACCCTTTGGCCACCCAAATTGCACATTTGCCCCTTAGAGGTGCAGTCACAGCTACAGCCAAAGATGTTTGAGGAATAAATTACTGTGAAAGTCAGCTTTTATTTAAACTCCCTCATTTCAAACACAAAGTGGTTCTCTGTTTCCCTGGAGACCGGGATATGTAAGAAGGCAGAATTTTCTCTGCATTTCCCCTTCCTACACTGGACCACTGTAGAGCAGGTTTTGGATTTTCCTTTTTCCCTCCTGCAGGACTGGCATCAGTTATGGCTGGTCCTTTTCCTCAGGTGGCTGGGGTTGTGTCTCTGAGGTGGTGACCTTGTGCTGAGACTCCTGACATGCAGGTGCTGCTGAGGGATCGACATCATTCTCTGCGCTCAAAACTGGCGTCAGACATGCGTGCCCAACGAACAGAAAGGGAGCCACTTTTCCAGTTCTTGAAGTAGAACATTAATACAGTTAAAATGAATATAATTCTGCTACAATAAAGGAGCACTAAAAAAAAAAAATGTACAAGATCTTTTATTTGTCTCTGGCACCTGTTTAGGAAGGTAAAACCACTTACTATGCTGCTCAATGAAGGATAAATTGAACAAACACTGCGTTGCACTGTCTGCCTCTACACAGGGAAAGGAATTAGGAGATGGAGTGGAACGAAACCTCCCTCTGGCATGAGGACAAGCACATTCTTATGTCCCAATCCTACCCTGAAAATTTTTTGGGAAAAGACTCCGTGCTCTGGATTTCATTGTCCAAATATTAGTGGAAAATGAGAAAGAAATGACAACTGACTGCAGCTGTTAGATGGCATCTTTCATACTTTTCCTACGGAACGTAAAGGCAGGAGAAAGGAAGGAGGAAAGCTGATAGCTCAGAGATTCACAGTGCGTTTAAACACAAACCTATACCTAAACAAAGCTAAAATTACTGCCTTGTACAGAAGTGTTCTAACTTTTTATTTGAGAGCAAATTCTTTCTGGTTTATCAAAGAACTACTCTTTGAGAACTATTCTTTGCCTTTGGAAAACTGTTCTTAAATGATACCTTTCCATTGTAATCCTTTTACAACTTCCAGGCTCTTTGAAATAATGATTGCCTCCTCGCACACATTCTGTGAGGAGCACAATAACTGACGTATCCATTTCAAAACATGCTGGGAAAGAAAACAGCATCAATTTTAAATGAAAACTTGTGAAACAGCATCTCAGGAACCACAAAAGCATTGCTGGTGTGACAGCTGTGGGCTACTGGCTCAAGGGCTGTCCCTTGCCACGATGTTTCTGACATAGTCTGCTGGCACTGAGAGTTATTTCTGAGATGCTTTTCATCAGCCATTCCTTGAGACATTCCAGTTCAGCAAGCCACGAACGCCCAAGTCACGAGCACGTTCCAGCTCAAGTCTCATGAGCTTTAGCAAGACCCAGTGCTGGTGCTGTGCCTGGATTGGGGTAACCAGTGGTCTCAACGCAGGCTGGGGGACGGAGCAGCCCTGGGCGAGAGCTGGCTGTGCCCCAGCTCAGGAGCCAGAACCTGTGCTGGGCTGATCCCCCAGCGTGGGCAGCAGGGCAGGGGGGGATTCTGCCCCGCTCAGGTGAGACCCCACCTGCAGAGCTGCCTCCAGCCTGGGGACGCCAGCACATCGGCTTTTTGGAGCAAGTCCAGAGGAGGCCATGGGGATGGTTTGAGGGACGGAGCACCTGTCCCGTGAGGAAAGGCTGAGAGAGCTGGATTGGCCAGCATGGAAAATAAAAAGCTTTGAGGCCACCTAATCGTGGCGTTCCAGTGCCTGGAGGGGGCCTACAAAAAGGATGGAGAGAGACTGTTTACAAGTGCCAGGACAAGGGGGAATGGCTCCTAGTGAGTTCCGATAGCGGCAGGGAGCTCCAGGGACCGACGCAGGATGAGCGGGGTGCGCCGGGGAAAGGCTGGGCTGCACCGCGGCGCGGCGGCTGCCGCTGCCCGTGCGGTCTGTGCCGGTGACATCCAACAACGGGCCCGGGCACGGCGGGGCCGGCACCGCGCCCCGGCCCGGCCCGGCCC